AATTTCCCAATAAAATCTTAAACAAAAAAAAGGCTTATCTTTACCTGTCCATTGTTCTTGTGCTTCTAGGTCAATACACCCTTGATATGCCAGGGGTAATTCTCTTTTCCAGGCTCCTCAAAGGTGTAACCACCCTCAAGGCAGCACATAATCTTATTACATATCCTGTGCCTTGCTTTCTCTCACCTTCATGTAATCTTCCTTACATTCCTTCATTAATTCTAAAGGTATAAAAGAAACTGCAACAAAAAAAAGTCACTTTCTAGAGCATTTGAGATATTGCTTCCCAGCAATTGTCATCTGTTTGGCTCAAATAAAATCTTATAAAAATTCCTTACAGGTTCGGACATTTTTACCTTGACAGAGCCTATTAACATGTCCCAGTGTTCCTTGAATCACATAGTTGGAAGACCTGACAGAAGGAAAAGAATAAGCATTTATTACACCCCGGTAAGAGGGCTATGCCCTGTGCCAGGTCCTGGATGTGCATTTTCTCAGGCAATCTTTACAATGACCTCTGAGAGCGGTGTTATTGCCCCTGCTGTGAATGAGAACCAGGCTCCGACAAGTAACGCAGTCTTCCCAAAGACTGGAGCCCCGCTAGAGAGTCACCACAGAGACCATGATTCCTGGAGGGAAAATGGGGACAGGCTCTGCCTGCCACCCAGCATCATCACTGACAGTTTGGATTTGCAAAGCTGGCCAGTGTGGACTGTTTACTTCCAGATTAGATATAATTCCACTCCACTGAGCCTCAGTTTCCTCATCTATAAAATGGAGCTATGAGTGAGGACAGGAAAGGCATGGTTAGAAAGATGTAACCGAATGGTGTCTAGGTTCCCTCCTTAGCATGTGCTTCCTGGATTTATGAGACCTAAGTACTTGGCCTGCAATTTAGAGGCACTGCCACCAGAGGGCGAGCTAGACTGGGAATAGAGCCACGTGGGGCTGATAGCCACAGAGGCTAGGTCAGGGCCTCCCAGGTTTGCTTTTACAGGTTCCCCCTCAGGTGGTACTTGGATGTAACAGAAATTATGAAGATGGTTCTGAATCGCTATGAGCAAATGAGGCCCTGCATAAATTCACGGGTGAATACCTTCCACTGTGTGAATTAATACTATTTAAGATCTGGTCCCTGCACCGCCTTTGAATCAACTTAAGAATCACTACGAATTCCACCATCTAGGGATCTCAGGAGCATGAAGAACAAGGAACAATGTTGGAAACAGCATCAGTGCGATAAAGGCCATACTTAAGTTTTTTTTTTAAATTATATTACCATATAATTTGTTTTATTCAAATAGGTGAATATTTATATACTTACTTAAGCTTTTAAAAACTATGCAGGTTTTATTTTGCCAAGATGACAGCTTCTCTCTCTCCAAAATATTCAATGCCTAATTTAAAAGGATTCCTCTTAATGTTCTGAAATGAAATCTTTAATGGAGGCAAAGTCATGAAACCTGTATCATTTGTTCACTTCCGTCAAAATTGAAATTGCTCAGCTCCCCAGCGTTCTGTTACTCAGCCGCTCTTCCCAGCGTTGGCATGCTCTTGGGGGGCATTTTGGCAGCTCTCTCTTGCAGTTACAGAAAGCAAAGCTGCGCCTGAAAAGGGCTACATTCACTATTATGTGTATTGAACTTCTGCAGCACCCTTCCAGTCCACCTTTGTACTTGCACAACTGTATCCATGAGCAACGGAGGGGTTGTGCATGTGTGTCTTTTGAAGGTTACACAAATGGTACGTTTCAGACTGTGGGTCTCAATTCTGAAGACTGTCATTTCCACCCCCCTATGATATAGTGTGAGATCTTCCCATGCTGGTGTGTGTAGATGTGGTCCATTCCTTTCCACGGCCGTACAATACCCCATGTGTCCATTCTCCTGCTCGCAGGTATATCGGTTGTTTTGCAATTATAAACTATGCTGCAGTGAATCTCTGTGCGAGGCTCCTGCTGTGCGTGTTGACGAGTTTCTCTAGGCACCATAGAAATGGAATTTCTAAGTTATAAGATACAATTTCAATTTTGCTAAACTCTGCCTTGCCGTTCCACGCTCATAACTCATTGAGTGTATGAATGTTCCCATTTCCCTCCTTTTCACCTACACTTGCATTTGAATATTTGCCATCCCGATGAATTTATTGTTTTAATTTGCATCTCTCTGATTATTGGAGACGTTGAACATCTTTTCAACTCTCCAGCATGGCTTCTTCGGTCATTATTAACCCTGTATGTTCCAGCCAGCCTGTCAGCTCCTGGGGTCTCACATCTAAGGCCCTCACAGGGCATGCACAGCCCCACCCAAGCATACGTGCTCTTTCTACTTTCCCACCTGACCTCCGCCCCTCTGTGGAGCCCTACCCTCCAAGCTTAACAAGCCACCGGCAGCTCCCCGAATACACCGAATACACCGTACTAAGTTTTTGTTCACACTGCGCCCTCTGTTGTGCTCCTTCCTGTCTTCCTGAACATACCTACTCATGTCCCAAGACCCATCTCAAGAGCTCTCTCCTCTAGGAGGCCTTCGGTGACCACCAGCCCCGACCCCATCCCAGTTTCTCTTTTGAGCCTCCACTGGCCCCGCACGAACTTCTCGCTGTATGTGTAAAACTTCTGAGTATCCGTTTACTGACATCTCTCCCCATCAGACTCTGGATGCGTAGAGGAAAAGTGCCATGACTCGTTCGTCTCTGAACTCCCCACTTCATTGAACAGGGCTGGGCCGAGGGGAGGGGCACACTACCTGTTTATCAGATGGATGGGTGAGCCTCAAAACCAGCTTCTGAGAAAATTCAGTCTTCTGCAGACTGTGAAGTCCTTGAGGACAAGGACCGCACTGGCTTCATATCACTGTCCCCCTAACAGGGTCAAGTGTTTGTGGCGCATTGTGTATATTTATTGACATGACAGTATGGTTGCCTGGCGGAATAGAAAATGGCTTTGGTGGGAAATTCCTGCATTTTCAATCCCGGCTTCCTATTGGTATATACTCGGGCAATTTACACGGCCTCTTTAAGCCTCCATTTTGTCGTCTTCATAAGAGGATGGTAATAGCTTTAAGGGCTGGTGTCAGGATGAGATAGGTTGTGTGTGTAAAGCATTTGGCACATCATCGTATGCATCTGGCATAGTCTATGTCCAAACAGTAGGTGGTCTGCTTTAGCTACAATACTCTGGGTGACTCATTTTTTCAGTTGCCACATGTGCTGAGCAGATAGTAGCTACTCAATAAAGATGAAGTCTGGTTTTTCCAGCACAAGGACAGTGCCTTGCCGAAATTAGGTACCCAATATGGAAGTTGAGCTGAACTCAGAACTTTGCACATAGGTAGGTACTCAGTAAATATTAATATTCCATCGAGCTAAATTCACCTCCCCACACTGCATCCTGCTCCAATCCTACCTTAAAGAAGTCATTCCTTTCTGTGGGAGGACGGGCAGCCCCCTTCTCCTGGCAGTGATCTACTTTTAATTTTTCCAAAATATGATCACCATGGGAGACTGTTATTGTGGTGGTCCCTAGTGAACCAGTTCTGCCCATCAGAATATTCTAGTGCAGTCTCCTCCCTCTGTGAGTCTGAGCTTGGCCACATGTCTCTTTGACCACAGGAACAGTAACAAGCCAGTGCAAGGCGTGATGAGCTCTTGCACATTGAATCTTGTCTCTTTGGAAGGCTCCTTCTTGGAGACCGATCACCATGCCAGGAAAAAGCCCAAGCTAGCTACAAGGAGAAAGTGATGCCCAGCCAGCCACCAGCTGTGGAATTCATCCCCACAGAGGCACCCGGCACGTGGGAGAAGCAGCCATCTTCACAGCAGATGCCACATGGAGCAGAAACGGACCATACCTCTTTAACCCTGCCCAAATCGCACAATCATAAACAAACAAATGATAGTTGTTGCTCTAAGCCACTAGATTTTGGGGTGGAACTCAGCAAATACCACCCACTAGCAGAGTACATTCTGAGAGTGCAGGACAGTGATCTGGGGGTAGGGTGTGCCGCTGGCTTGGAGACCCACTAGGTAATAAACCTCAGGATCAGCTGTTCGACATGACTGTCTAACCTGGAACCCCTTCTCTGGGGGCCTCTTCCCTGGGGCACCAATTCCCAGGTCCCTCCCCTGTTGTTACCAGGGACCCTTGTCAGTTAATGGCAAGTTTAGCTCTCTGAACAGGTGCCCAGGCTCACATTATAATAAGTCCTGAGGTGGGTGGCTTCTGGCCAGGTGGATGGAGCAGCTCAGTGAGGTCATGGAGGACCCAGATTCTGCCACAGTGCCTGCAGTTCTTACGGTCATAGTGTGTCTGCTAAGAGTCGTCTGAGCTGTACAGTTCCTCAGTCAATACAACAGGAGAGAGGGATGTTCCCCAACTCTTCTAGTAGAAAAAAGAATCTCCCAGACCACCCCCCCCCACACACACACACCTTTCCTTGCATCTCATTGGCCATATTGAGTCACATCCCCATTTCTGAACCAACCACTTTGTATGTGTAGGGGGAGGGGTCAAGGATTACTGTGAGACCAATCAAAACTATCCCTGGATTGAAGGGGATGTGGCCAATTCCTCTGAAGTCCATGGGCTCACAGGGAAGGAATGGGTGGCTGGAAATAACTGGGGTTCTGCTAGGGAGGGCGTACAAGGTATGATCCAGCAATGCCTGCTCGAGGACCCCTCCATACAGGGCATGAGGGAGAAGCGAGGCACACTGGGGTCGAGACAAAGTCCTGCTCAGCTCTCACGTCCTTTCCTGGAATTATGGGGGAAGGGTGTGTGTGTGGGGGGGGTGCGTGTGGCTAGGGGGCAGGTCTGGGGGACAGCTGGGGCCCTCGAGGCTTCTCTCTCCCTCAGTTGGTCTCTCCAGCATTGAACATTGGCCCCCACCCCAACTTGAAGAAAGCACCAAGCAGGGAGGAGACGGGCTTAGATCTGCGGCTTTCTTTATTGTTAGCACGTTCTCTGAGTCGACGGCACCTCTTCTGAGTCATACCTAGTACTTCGAGCTGTTGCTTTTGCTCTTTTCCCCATATTTCTCATCCAGTGCTTTCTGCAAGTTCATGTTCATGGCGTTTTTCTGGTGCCACCGTCCTGCAGAGATCAGGGCAGGAGCAAGAACACATCACCTAGGGGACCTCCAGAGTGCCCAGGCCCCGGTGGTGACGCATACCTCTCTTCCGGGCCCACGCCAGGGCTCTCTCAGCTACGCTGGCTTCTGTCTGGACCTTGAAGCCAACACACCCTGCCCAATTAGGGGAGCGCCTCCCTCCCATACTCCCAGCTCCCCACGTACCCAGATCGTCCGTCTTCCTGCCATGCCAGTGCTCCATGTCCCTCACCGACTTCTCAATCACCTCTGGGGTGTAAGAGGCCTTCATGAGACTCTTCATCTCTGTGGTGGCCCCTGTGAAGCCCCAAGTCAATCCCCAGAAACCCCAAGTCAGTGGAAGTCAGGCGCTCTCGAGTTCACACCTGATGTCGGTTTCCCCTACGGATGGTGGATGGTGAGACGGTAGGAGACTGGGGAGGGTAAGGCAGAGGGAGGTACGCCTGGGCTTAAACCCCAGCTCCAGCCTTTATGGACAGTGTGGCCTCAGACAAGTTTTTAACTTCTCGGAGCTTTGGTCTCTTCATCCATTCAAAGGAATAAAATGACCTTGTGTGGGGAAGATTACATTATCGAAGCATAAGGCATGTGGCAATTAATACCTATATTTTCAGAAAATTTATCTCTATGAGCAAAGTTAAAACACACACAAGGAAATAAATTACCACGATCTAGAGTCAGCTGAAACATCAAACAGAACACCTAATCCCAAAAGATACCAAGGATTTGGATAATCCGTTACAGAATTTGAAATAAGTATATTTAATGTTTAGAGTCATGCAAGAGAATAAAAGTATAAGCAAAGAATAAGACAGTGCCCAGAAAGAACAGATCAGTAAAAGAAGCAAATGAAATTTCAAAAATGAAGCATATAATAATTGAGAATTCAGTGAATAATAAGAGGCCTGTTATTTGCTTTGAAACAGTTGGGGTGGGGTGGATGGGTGGGTGGGAGAAAAGATAAAACAAGATTGGCCATGTATCAATAATTGTTGAGGCTGAGTGATGGGTGAAACATCTATTCATTAAACTATCCTCTCCACTTTTCTCTAAGTTTGAAAATTGACAATATAACATTTAAAAAACCAATTCAATGGACAGGTAAAATAGCAGATTAGATACAGCTAAGAAAAATGGTAAATTGGAAGATATATCTAAAGAAATTAACTAGGGGGCCGGCCGAGTGGCTCAGTTGGTTAAGAGCTCGCTCAAGAGTCTGAGCTCTGAGCAACAGCAGTTCGAGTCCAGCCCGAGCTGAGCAGCCGCTGAGCTGCCAACAGGTAGCAGGATGGCTCAGCTAAAAGAGATAAAAAAATAAAAAATAATAAAGAAATGAACTAGGATCCAGCACAGAGGAGGGAAAAGATGTGGAACATATAAAAAAGCTGTTAAATGAAGGTCCAATGAGAAGACCTAACATACATCTAATTGGAGTTCTGAAGGAAAGATGGGAAAATGGGAAGAGGCGATATTTGAAAAAATACAGGCTGGAATTTTTTCCAGAATTGATGAATATCTAAGGATATGAATCATTAGATTCAAGAATCATAATTCCCTAATCAGCATAAGTCCAAAACTTTCTTACCTAGCTAGGTATAGCCAAGTAAAATTTAGAACACCAGAGACACAGAAATCTTAGAAGTAGCCATAGAGAAAGAACAGATTACTTACAAAGAATAACAAGAGTTTGATTAACCATCAACACTGGAAGGAAATGAAATACGATAATCAAAGTGCTGACAGTAAATAATCAACAATCTAAGGCTATCTAAAATAACTGTCTTCCGAGAATGAGAACGAAATAAAGACTTTTCTGAGCCTAAAATTTACCATCAGAATCTAACCCCAAAAAATCTTCTAAACAACATATTTCTGAAAGGAAAAATATGATCCCATTAGAAAGACCTGAGATACAAGAAGGTGTAGTGGACAAAGAAAGTGGAAACCTTGAGTAAACCTAAATATACATCAATTATAAAAACAGTATCAATGTCTAATTTATGGGGTGAAATAATGATGATGACAATGAGAGCTAACCATTTTTTAAGATTTACCATGTGCTAAGCACACAGAGCTTACTCATTGGATCTTCTCAACAACACTAAGAGATATGTATGATTATTATTTCCATCTTACTGTTGAAGTCACTGAAACAGAAAGGTTATTAAGTCACTTGTCTAAAGTCACACAGTTGGTAAGTGAAAGGTGTAGGACTCAAACCCAGGCTCTGCGGCTCCAGAATCCATGGTTTAGACTATTTCGTTTACGTAGAATTAAAATTCTGTAAACTCATAACATGTAAGCTGAGATGAC